GAAACCCGGATTCTAGAGTTGTAAGTCCGCAGACATACCTCTGTGCCTCTGGGAGGCGTTTACGTCGAAGAACGTCTACGTTCTTTTGTTTATAATCAGTGTGATTGTCGAAATATTAAATGAAATAAAGTAATTAAGCTCTAATATCTCACAAATTATAACTCTTGAGGGAAAAATACTTACTACAGATTCCTTAGTTCACATCAAAACACAATTTTACTGAAGTAATTACAAAAATATCAAAAAGTTATAGTTACTTATGTATATACATATTTGTTTAATGCATTCGTTACATAATCTGGTAATTATAAAAGTAAGAGTAATTTACTAGCGAAGTTGACATGGTTAATTTCGGTCTGAGTTTGTGTATCAACAAATCCTTTTTTTATACGGAAGCACCGTTAATTAATCAGATCTTAAAATAATTCGAATGGAAAAATTACATCACAGTCATGTATGGCGTGCTCTAGTACAGTTGATTTAGTCGCGGATCTTAAACTGGCAAGTCCTTTAACACGAGCGAATAATTTTTTTAGTGGACCCAATATAACTACACTGACAGCAAGGGCAAGTAAATTTATTAACTGCATTTGATGGATTTAATGCAGGAGTACGGTCCCCTTAAAGCTAAAATAATTTTATAGATGATGATTAGGTTTAAAAATACATCTCACGAAGTATGTTTCTTACCTGATTTTCAATATTCAAAAGCTACGTTTAGGTAAAAGTTTGTTTATAGAACAACATCATGATGTCATTTTTAATTATTCAAAATATTTTCTGAATGATACTAAAAAGAGTGCTTTAGCCCATGTTTTAACATTCAGCTTTCCAAATACGTTAAAATTTGAAGACTGTTTTGTACAATTTGAACAGTTTTTGCTAATGTGGTCGCATCAAACTTTTTATTCTAATTCAGGTCAATCGTTTAGCAATATTAGAATTTAGATTAGTAATATAGCTTTGATTTCATATAATAATTATAATTTTGAATATAAAATATTCTTAGATTTAAGTTCAGAGGAATTAAGCTTTGAATAATTTAGGTAAAAATGATAATATTGTGATTTCTAAATCCGTTAAAGGTTTTTTTTTAACAGTATTACAATTTTGGATAGAAAGCAATATTCAGGAAACATTGACGACATTTTAAGTATTCAACAAATGTTGTGAAGTAACACCGTGATCCTACTGGTACTAGAGAAGCTAGGGTACCTTTTAAAACTGAAGAAGGATAGCTTTCTAAATGGAAAACAATATTCAACTACTAGATAATCAGGTAGTAATCCAGGAATTTTTATAGTCTTTCTAAAATCCACCGAGAAGGATGTTTATAACAGTTTAAAATATTCAGTTTCTAAATGGAGAATTCATAATGAAAGCTATGGTTTTCCTAACATTCATAAAGAAGGATGTCCATTACGACCTGTAGTGACTAACGTTGGGACTTATAACGATGCTTTAGCTGTTTTATTTAATTGGTTGAAATTTTTAAGACCTTTAACACAAATGAATAAATGATAAAAGTTTACTAGTGGAATACAACAATGCGCCCAGCTGTGATGTTTAGTCTTTATATATATAATACCAACACACTATTAAAAGAAATTATACAGTTAAGTGATGATTTGATTTTTAATAACAACTCTGATAATCTGAGTATTATCAAATCAGTATTTTAGAGTTTAGTTTTGTTACGTTATCACCTTATATTGGCGCGCATTTCAGTTAAATTTAATCAAAACGCTAGCTTAAAACTGTAGTGTAATCTACAACCAACTTAATCATACACTTTTTTGCCGTGATAAGAAATTCACCGATTTTGTTTTGCATAATAAGTATACTTTTATATACTTTTGTTTTAGCATTTCTACAACCTTTTTTATATTTTATGGGTTCTTTGCACATAAAAAATAACTCAAAATTTCTTCTGACGTAGGAAATATTTCCACGTTTATTTTAATCTAACAAACTGATCCATGTTTACAGACGATAAAATCCATTGTTATGCTTACTGGATGTGTTAGTACAATTCTAGATCCATTTCACTAATACGTCTTTCAGTTTTTAATATTCAACCTTACCAAGTTTAATCCTCTTTTGTTTGAAAGTTTTGGCAAACTGCTCTAACTCCTCCAGTTCCATGACGTCAACATGGTCTGTCCCCTGGGGCTGACGTTTCACGTATGAACTTGTTGGACCACTCTGATGAGAGACAATGTAATGGCGTTATGTCCAGAAAGAGCATAAAATGTATATTCTTAATTTTCAACAATACAGGATTAAACGTAAAATTCCGTTCCGTAAGTTTGAAATAATAAATTTCAAAATATAGAAGTTATGCTTTAATATATTATTCCGATAAAAACACGTGGCTGGATATTCTAGCAGAGAAATAGAGAACAGACGTATTGTTTCTGCTTTTTATTTCTTATTTTCATCTATTTGTGAAGTATTGATGATTTTGTTTGTTTGTTTTTGAATTTCGCGCAAAGCTACACGATGGCTATCTGCGCTAGCCGTCCCTAATTTAGCAGTGTAAGACTAGAGGGAAGGCAGCTAGTCATCATCACCCACCGCCAACTCTTGGGCTACTCTTTTACCAACGAATAGTGGGATTGACCGTCACATTATAATGCCCCCACGGCTGAAAGGGCGAGCATGTTTTGTGTGACAGGGATTCGAACCCGCGACCCTCAGATTGTGAGTCGAGTGCCTTAACCATGCCGGGCCTTAATGATTTTAAAACGATACCTCCAATATAAAAATGTATGTGTAAACAAACTCTTCCCAATTTTGAATACTCGTATAATTTAAGAATAGGTGCTACATTATATATGTGGTTGTAACAAGTTCAACATTTTGTAGGCAAGTCAGTAAGTAGGTAATAGACAATGACGGTAAAAATTGGTATGCTCTGATTTTTTTATTACACATGATAAAATACACAGTACATATATAAACAATTAAAATATTTAAAGTATCTAAAGTTTAAATACTAAAATCTTCTTTACCGTTAAAACTTGTGTACTTGAGAATGATCGCGCCAGAGATCGAAACGTTATACGTGTTCTGAAAAATTATCTACCTTACTGCAAAAGCTGTAACTTGAAATCAAATCAAATCAAATATAGTTAGTACACGCAATTCAAAACTTTATAATGTCAAAATTATAACCTTCTGCTATTCTTCTTGCCCCTTTCAGGTAATAAACATACTATTATAACCAGTATAGTACAACTATTAGCTAACCACAGTAAAATCTACCTTGGGCTGAACTGATTCTTGGGCATCGCAGAGCTTTAGTTTGCTAGATTCTTGTGAAGTCTGATTTTGTTGTGAAGGTGACTGGTGAGCCATTACAACACCTGCTTGTCGGCTTCTAGTGCTAGGGGTTATCGAAGAAGCTGCTCGATACTGTAAATTCTGGAGAGATTGATGCATCAGAAGTCCCTGTAATCAATAGTTAAACTTTTGAAACTCCATATATGATTAAATAAACGCTTTTAAAAATATTCACGACCTCATGCTCACTCTAAAGGTACAAATAAGGTGCAGATGCTGGAGAATTTGTAAAAAGTTGCATCTTCCCCCTACCCTTAGAAGAAAAGTTTAAACTCTTTAAGAAGTTCGCGTTTGTGCTCATAAGAATTATCATTACTGAATGTCAGGGTTTTGTATATATATGGGTTGAGGATTCTTCTACAGTAGGTGCCTGTTACTTGTTAGCGATAAATTCGAACAATAAACGGACAGCACACAATCCACTTGTTTTAAAATAATATATTCAAAACAAGTCAAACGTATGTACAAAAAGTCTTTACACTATTGGTTATCACAGTTGTATCTAAAGCTCTAAATAATTCTCTTTCTTGTCAAAAGTAAACGCAGGCTGATTCAATTGGCAAGACGAATTATTTTTCTCTATTCTGTTTCTTACTGTACAATCTGCGATAAATTTACTTACGTCACTCCATGGGTTACCATAATTGTATCTAGAACTTTAAATATTTGTCTGCTTTTTCGTCCACACAGATGGGTTCAATTACTCTAGAACACCCTTTGGCAAGACAAGTTATTCTCCTTATCTCTATTAAACTGTAAAAATTACTTTAAAATATCGCCCGTTATGGCTAATCACCTACACGCTGGCCAACTTCACGTTTTCTAACCTTTTTTCTGATTGAACTTAATTTACTTGCTTTACTTTATTTCATATGACTTGCACTCGCCTGGTCGCCTATATTTATATGTTGCCCAACTGAGGCTTCGAATTTTCTCTAAACTCACTTAAGTTAACCAAACAAATACAGAAGATTCGAGTAACGTGACGTCAACAATATTAGTAAAGCCTAGACAACAAAGTAATTACAAACACAACACATGATTCGTACAGAATTATATAACGAGATCTGTCACAACTAAAACTTTTAAAACAATACATCTTCAACATTCCTGTCTTAAAAACTGAACAATAATTTAATATTAAGTCACAAAATAAACTAAATTATAACACTTACACTAAAAAGTTTTGTACACTATCCTACCAAAAGTCATGGAACATGGGTAGTTATGAATAAAACATGTCTTAATTTCAATAAATTAATAGCGTGTAGGACCGGCTTTGGACTTAATGACTGCTTCAAGAAGACTGTCTACTAATTTCTGGTAGAAAGCTGGTGGTATTGTGCTTCACTCCTCCTTTAAAGCATTAGTAAGCTCCACCATTAGATTACACCATTAATAGTTTATTTCTTTTAATTCATTTACTATAGACCATTTTCAACCTGACTGTGTAATTAGGCCTGTTTTCTCGGCTACAATATTTGCAATGTAGTGAATATCTGCTATCTATGATGACTGCACTGGTCCCCCAGACTTTATTTTGGCACCAGTGTTTCCTGCAACGATGTCTGGAATGTCATATGACATACATTTTTCTCGTGAAGTAAGTTATTTGTTCACAATGTTAGCTCAATCAACACTAAAATCAGATTAATGGCCAATTACACAGGAAACGGGAACACACTTTCTTTAACATCACAGGGATGATTTTAAATTGTTTACGATTCCATACATCGAATTATCCTAAAATATTGTTTGAGTTTTGTGTACATATATGTTATATTGTACAATTTCCTGAAAAACATATTTTTTTTTCGAGACCACCGCATTTTTGTAATTATATTCCAAAAATGGGTATATTTATACTTATTTTGCGTACAGTCATGTGTCACTGATCTGCTATAAAAAGGCATCCAAATATATGAAACCTTTAGCGAGTGCCGAATCATCTGTTTACTATGGAAAACGCCAAAATAATTTCCGATTGTTTACGACACTAACATGTTTGATGATAATTGTACTTTGTGTTTCGCCCCCCAGTGGCACAGCGGTATGTCTGCGGACTTACAACGCTAGAAACCGGGTTTCGATACCCGTGGTGGGCAGAGCACAGATAGCCCTTGTGTAGCTTTGTGCATAACAAAACAAACAAACTTTGTGTTTCTTTTTACTCTTATATATTTGCATTGAATGTTATTTAGTAATACAGTCTGTGTTCATTGCTTCTCGTTTGATATTGTATTTTACTTTATACAGGACTTGTCTACCACTGATAATGAGTTATACGTGCACACCCAGCTGATATATGTCGATACAGTAAGTTGATTCTAATGACCTGTGTCAAAGACATATTCTAATTAACTGTATTGAAGATCTATATATTTTTGCATTTGAATTATTTACAACGTGAGTTGTTTCTTTTCTTTCAGACTTCCCCAGGTCCCAAACGAGCATCTGATGTAGATGAAGCAGAAGTAAGATTTTCTAATATTGGTAACAAAATCTATATTGATATTTTAAATTATAAATTTTCAGTTTTATTATTTTTGTTACATATTTTACGTATTATTTTTTCTTTCTTTTACAGACATCAAGTAAACGTCCCCGCTGGGATTCTTTTTTTTTAATGGAAGAAACTTTCGGCATAAACGCATCAGTTAAGTCATATTACTTTATCTTATTTCATGGAATTTATACTTATCATCGTTGCTGTTTCTACGTTTAATTATTATTACTGTGATCTTTCTCGTATCTCACTATCGCACACACGTTTAGGCTAGTTCTTAGGGCTTGACTCTATTACTTTCGGCTGCCTACTTAGTAAATTGACCGTGCGTGTATTAAACAAACCTTTTCAGTCTGGTTAGTAGTATCAGTTTGGTTTGATTTGAATTTTGCGCAAAGCTATTCGAGGGCTATCTACGCTAAATGTCCTTAATATAGCAGTGATAGACTAAAGAGAAGGCTGCTAGTCAACACCACCCACCACCAACTATCGGGTTACACTTTTACCAACAAATAATAGGACTGATCGCTACAAAATAATAATAATAAATACGGCTGAAAGGACGAGCACGTTCGATGAAGTAAATTCGAACCCGCGATTAGCAGATTGCGAGTCGAGCGTCCTACCCACCAGGCCCTTAGTAGTGTTAGGCACAGATCATTGGTTGTTTAGTAAATTACTTTCCTATTTGTTGTAATTAACTTATTTTAAAGTATTATTACTGGGATTACAGACGAAAATAACTTTAACAGCGAGGGTACCTAACTGATGAATCAATGCTTTCTAATCATTAAAAGTTGTAGTAAGAGTAAAAAACACTAAAACCGACGTTTTTTGGCACAATGAAAGGTAAAATATTTACTATTGGTTACATCAGACTAGCTTCGGTAACATAGTTACCATAATTAGCCCTGATTTTACCTTAGCAACTTGGGATTACAATATCTAGCTTCCCTCTCTCCTGTAAAATGTTTTGATTTTACTCTCTTGGAACTATTTAAATACAGGACGTATATTTTGGTTAGACGGTGAAATTTATATGTATATATTGGTTCATTTATCCAAATGTACACCTACTGAACTTGCAAAACCTATAAATATATTGTTTCCTTTCTGTGTTTTGTGTATTAGAGACACGATTCATTTGGGAATTATGATTTTCTGTATGAGTTGTATTATCTTTGTTTTTTCTTTCAATTCTCTCAATATTAAGTTACACCCACCTACTTTGTTACCAGAAGAAATATATTCAAGGCTTCAGACGTTGGAGTGAAGATGGGTCACAACGTATTTGCACGCCATCAAGTATAGTGATGGGTATCGCTGTAATATTGGCAGCTTTCTATGTTAAGATATTTATAAATGCCAAGTTACATAACAGGGCATAGTAAAGTCCTGCGTCTTTCCAATCAGATGCATGATGAGTAAATGACATTAACTATTCTTGGTTAACATTCTTATCATTCTGGATGATGCATTCTTACTAAACCACATGTTCTTCATAGATTACCTCACTTATTTTTATTTTAAAATCCCCACTTTTTGATAACATAATATGTGAAGTGATTAAAGAACCTCTGACACTTATCCATCTTTATTATCTCTTATGAATTCTAGTTAAGAAGTTAGCACACAGGATCACCTACAAAAATAATAATGTTTTCAAACGAGACTCAAAATTCAAGCGCTTTAGGATAGTTGACTATTCTTCTTCAGGAGAATAAAGAATTTCTTTTTGTTTTGCAGAAGAATAGTTAACTATTCGAAAGCGCTCGAGTTTTAGGTCTCGTTTGAAAACATTATTATTTCTTATGTTCATTCCAAAACATGATGCTGTTATTAAAATGTTCATGTCTTTTTCTCACTAACTACTCAATTTTTTATTCTCTCCTGAGACTCATGTGATACTTTCCTAACCCACGGTTGTTGCATAAACACAGTTAGTCGACTTTCGTAGTGAGGTATGTTTATCTCAATGTGGTTGCTGCCGTAACCTGAATTATTGTATGCGCCGCACGATCGGTCAGAGAAACCCTGATTGAGCTGGTTGTGTCAGTAAAGAAGAGCTGAATTTAGATAGACAATTAAAGTTACTTTTATTGGGGATTTTTTTAATATATGAAAAATACACATCGCTGGTCTCCTGGATACATAAATCGAAAAAGTAAAATCAGTATTTCATTTTACCGTGTCCCATCAACAAGAAGGAAGACCTGGCTCTACTATGGAGCCACATCAGAGAGAGAAAGAGCCTAAGTTAGCTGATTACATTCCAACAATATTTGACTTTCGCGGAGACAACGGACACAAAAGAACATGTAGAAACACATTTGTTGCTGGAGAGCTAGCTTCAGGATCCAAAAATGTTCAAGACAAAACCAACATGAAACAGAATGAGCGTTACAATCTTATAGCACTAACCTCAGTATTATTAATGTTCAATAGTTTTGGTTTGGCTCCGGATAAAATATACTGTATATTAATGAGAATTACGTGTGTAATTTATGATGAGTCAGTTAGACTTTATATGTATTTTTGTATACAGTTTTCATTACAAACTATATTAGAACCGGTACTCAAGGTACAACTTATTGTCCATTAAATGTTTGTGCGTATAGTTTCAAAAGTCATTTCATTTTATGATATTGCTGTGAAATTTATGCTGCAAAAATAATAATATTTTTATTGTGAAGCTCTGAATTCTTCTGATACTGATAATATAACGATTCTGTGTTAATAAGGAGACGAAAACGGAAAACAGTTTTAAAACTGATGTTACACAGTTGTGATTTGAATTTCGTGCAAAACTACGCTAGGGCTATCTGCGCTAAACGTCCCTCATTTAGCAGTATAAGACTAGAGGGAAAGCAGCTAGTCAGCACTACCCACTGCTAACTTTTATGTTTCTCCTTTACCAACGAATAGTGGGATTGACCGAAACATTATGGCGCCCCCATGGCTGAAAGGGCAAGCATGTTTGAGGGGAAGGAATGGAGATTCGAAACCGCGACCCTCAGATTGTGAGTCAAGCGCCCTAACCATAACTACACAGTTGTGTTTGGAACAGAATATCATATGAGAAGGTTATGCAAATATGTAAATATTCTTTGAATGATCATAACGATAATACATAATTGAAACTTTATTTTCAGTAAACTAATTCAGTTCTCTCTGTTAACAGACGTTGCATCAACATTAATAAACTTGTCTGTCGGCAGTAAACCCAGTGATAACGGTAAGGTCTCAAATAGAAACCTACGTAATTTTGTTTAAAATATAGAATCACAATATCTTATTTCATATTTAAACAATTAAGATAAGACGGATTACCTAAAAAGTTTAATTCTAGAGTTTACTGTTTGTTTGTTTGTTTTGAATTTCGCGCAAAGCTACACGAGGGCTATCTGCGCTAGCCGTCCCTAATTTAGCAGTGTAAGACTAGAGGGAAGGCATCTAGTCATCACCACCCACCGCCAACTCTTGAGCTATTCTTTTATCAACAAATAGTGTGATTGACCGTCACATTATAACGCCCCCACGGCTAAAAGGGCGATCATATTTGGTGTGACGGGGATTCGAACCCGAAGCCCTCAGATTGCGAGTCGAGTGCCCTGACCACCTGGCCATGCCGGGCCAGAGTTTACTGTACAAATGACTGCACAGATGTTTTCCCAATTTATATGAGTATAAAAAATAAATTGTTCCTATTGTACTGAGTTTAATAACATTTCTGTATAAGTTATCAATTTCTATTTTGTGGAAATCATTTTTGGTTATATTTGTTTTGATGCCAAGCTGGGTTGTACATATAAAGTGAAAGTACCTCTTAAGGAAGCCAAGATTTAATAAAGAACAATGTTAGATAACGTTCCTCTCCCTTTTCTTTTTGTTATTAAATCCCTAATAACCTCATTAGTTGCTAATTGTACAAGTACAATAATTTTTTTTAAAATTTTATAAAACTTACGATATATACGTAACGAAGCTAGCTGTGATAATATAGAAATTTTAATTCTACAAATAGTATTGAAACAAGAAAGTCAAAACGACAAAAACTTCGTTGTTTAAAATTAAGTTTTATCCTTACTTTGGCAAATCACGATAATTATGTTTGTATAAGCCAAAGTAAGGATAATGTTTTTGTAGTTCTGACTTTCTCGTTTCAATACTTTTTGTAGCAACAAATCTTTCTATATTACTATAGCTAGCTAGGTTACGTATATATCGATCCCTACTTGTCTTTATAAAAAAAAATATACTTATTTGTTTCCTTTTAATTAGCTATATTTTTGTGCCCCAGAAATATCAAGCGTGGCGCGCGTGTATACGTGATTCAATTTTATTACTCATTAGGATCTCTACCAACCTACCCTCAAATGTAATTATATGCCCAAAGTAACGCAGCGTCCGTTTTATATTTACATATATAAATATATACTAGTATCCTTTTCGGTACAAAAATGGAATCACTGGGACTCCAGACTGGAGAGTTTTGCGAAAGAATTAGAGCGATAAGGTTCATCATTTTTCTGCACGCTGTTTGAAACTATGTCACATCAGAGACATTGACTGATACCATTGTTTTGGTTTTTGAGTTATCATGTAATAAAAAAGAAGCAGAAGAAAGAAGAAGAAGAAATTCAAACTTTTTGCTATTACATTTATAGACATTCCCAGGACTCAGTCATTACATAGATGTTGTTATAAAAGGAAACCCTGTATAGAATTGTATAGTTCTGATGAACTATGGGAAAAATATTTCAAATATCATTTCTATTAACAATCGGAGCCACCACTACATAGGCAGTGCTGCTGCCTGCCTAATAAATAAATATTACAGTTGGAACCTCATTTTATTTCGAACTTGGTTATATATACAATTTTCCCATGTCTATTAAACACACTGCATTAAAAACAACAACAAGCAAACAAATAATGAAGAAACTTTTCAAAAAAGGAAGTAAATGTAGGGATGGCTAGTGTCAATCCTTCAAAATTAATGCATAGACAGTGTTACCGCCTATCTGATATTACAATACTTGTAAACCAATAACATGGAAATGTAGCCCGTAGTCATGGCTACATTCCATGCACAAATATAACGTGACTGCTGATTAGATGACTGAGATAATATACATTTACTAGATTCTCAAAAACATCGGTAATTGGGAGTTGCATATTTGGGAAAAACTATCTAATGTTTCTTCGAGTGACAGCTCAGAAGTAAACAAACTTAAGAAGTCGTTATATTGTGGTGATAAGTAAGAACAATAAAATGATGGCTCTCTAGCTGGACCAAACACTTACTCGCTTTCTGATTCTATAGGTATACCGAACACTACACCAAAAACTAAAGTGTTTAAGTACCAGAAGGATTTCACATAAACATACCTGCGCGAATTAGCGTTATCTGCTTTGATAGCAATCAAAACAGCGATCTCGTCTACAAGTAGAGGGAAATCTTCAAATTGCTGTTTCAAAAATTCAGCCAAGAATGGATCTCATTTAATCCAAAGTTCAAGCTCATCCTTCGTTGTTGTTATTCTAGGTACATGCGTTTACATCTACGTACTTATTAACTAAGTAAAATCTTGAAGATGTACCTGAGTCTGAAGAAATAATTGTGCTTGAATACTAGCTGGTAGTTGACCAGGTTGAAGAAGTAGGAACTGACTTAAAGCTTGAAGACCTTGTTGTTGATGCAGTTGAGAGAGTTCTTCGGCACTTAGCTGAAGTCCTGCAAAGTTGGAACCTAGGTGCGCCTAGAAAAAACAAACTCTCTTTTTTCATAATAATAAAACAAAAAGTATATAACATGTACTGTAGAATAACCTATAGAAACCCGATGTTAATCGTATTCTGTTGTCATTCATCACAATCTTAAGAAGAAATATTTGTCTACATTCCGATTAATTAGTAATGTTTCATTAGGAACTGTTTTGATGCTAGTGTCTGTAGTGCTAGAAAAAAGGAATTATGTTGTCAATGAACTAATCAAATGCATCATTGGAAAATAATTTCATAAACAAACTATAAGCTGGAGTAATGTTAAATTTGCCCCTCCTCCGGTGGTTCATCGGAAATTCAATGGGCTTATACTGCTACAAATCGCGTTTCTTTTGCTATAGAGCAGAGATAGCCCATTGTGTAACTTTATGTTTAACAATAAAAAAACAAAAAAATTAATTTAGCAGTTTATTATATGTTGATCATACCTGAGCCTTTGGTAGATTAAGATAATTATTATGTTTCGGAGATAATGATAAATAACATGTGAGATATAAAGTTGTCGCAGTTTTAGAATTTGCTTCTTTGATCATTTCCTCGCGGCAATAGTAACCTGAGTGCCATCTGCCCAAAACTAACTTTCAAACAGCGTTAAAACAAAATAAAATGGATAATGTTGTGTTCTTAATTCTTGGTTATAAATCTGAGTTGTAAATTATTTAAATAAGATTACTAATAAATACAGTTCACTTTCTTAATTCCATTCGTACCATAAAGGTTGTTGTTTGGCATATGTAGCACCTAGACATTAACATGCCTGTCGTATCTCAGCCGGTCTGAGGAGTCCTGGTATTGGGCGATAAACCTCGTATATAACCCCTGATACAGCAGATGTATTGTTGTTAACATGTTATGACATACTTTCCTTTGCTTTCACTCATGGGTTCTTAAAATTTCCTTCCACCCACAAACTGCATAAAATGTCACCTATGCTAACCTATGTCACCTATGCTGTAGGTTGTTTTAAGATAAGGTTGCAAGCTGAGATCAACCACCATGCCGAGTTTAATCTTTTTTTATAATGAGTATCCGAGATCAAAGAATATGATACAGTAAATTGTGCATACCACTCTAGCTGAACGCCCATCCTATGACGGTAAATGCTGATTGATTTTTCTTCTGAAAATTAAATTTAAATAAATCTTTATGAACATGCTTTCTAAAAATAATGTTATAATGACAATACATGTATTCAGAATGTTCATCATTTTTCTAGTATTTTTGTGTGTATATTTGGTCATATCCTATAAGTAGTTCTTGATTAGAATTTGAATTATGTATAATTTTATTATATTTTCAATTCTGCTTTTTGATAAACTGGTTGTCGAAGAAATATTCCTTTATTGTCAAATGTCTGACCCTGAGATTTATTAATTGTGATGGCAAAGGCAAAGATTTTGAGGGTGAAGGAAAATTGCGCGAAGATTTAACTTTTCATATAAAATGCTTATAAAAGTTTTAACTAAATTTTTAGGACGGCATGGCCAGGTGGATAAGGCGCTCGACTCGCAATCGGAGGGTCGTGGGTTCGAATCCCCGTCCCACCAAACATGCTCGCCCTTTCAGCCGTGGGGGCGTTATAATGTGACGGTCAATCCCACTATTGGTTGGTAAAAGAGTAGCCCAAGATTTGGCGGTGGGTGGTGATGACTAGCTGCCTTCCCTCTAGTCTTACACTGCTAAATTAGGGACGGCTAGCGCAGATAGCCCTCGCGTAGCTTTGCGCGAAATTCAAAAACAAACAAACAAACTAAATTTTTATAAATCGTTTGCCCAAGTTGAAAATAATAATGTATTGTTTCGCCATCTATTAGGTTGAAATGATATTTACGTTGTGTTTAATACAGACTTGTGTTTGTATATAATATGATATGATCCCTGATTTAATTTGTAAAGTTATTCGTGTTTTTCCGAATATTCACAGAGTTTTCTGTAAATATGATAATAACAATTAAAAAATTAATTAACATAACATCCCGACTGGGATTTGAATGCGAGACTTTCACTGGATGATAGGTAAGTGTTACAACTACTGTTACACCCAGTCTTTATAATCAACTGTTAATAAATAATTCAAATCCCTAATTTAAACTATGAAGTTATTCTGTTTTTTTTTTCTAATATTGTATGAGCTTGCTCTAAACACGATGACTTAATAATTTAAAAATGTTGTGAAAACTTCCCACTCGACTGGTATTTGAACGCGAGACTTTTGCTTGAGACTAAACCCCTGAGCCAACTTGAACGACAAGTTTAAATTTTAATTCTGTACTAAATATTTTTCTCAGGCAACCCTTTCTTATCCAACAAGAATGAGAACTGTGTCTCTAGAGAAATCCACAGAGAAAGTGAGATTAAAACTGTATTAAAAAATTGTAGTGGTATTTCGTTTTACTTTAGTTACTTGCTGCTACTTCTCAAGCACAACCGCCATTTCAAATGCCGTCTGGTTTCGTTCAGCAGCTGCAAACACAAAAGGTAAACAATTTACTATTTAATTATTTGAATCTGTTGTGGATGATGTTGACTAGCTGCCTTCCTTTTAGTCTATCACAGCGAAATTAGGGACGGCTAGCGCGAAATTTATTAATCACCAAACAATGGTTTCATTAAGCATATATTCGTAATGAAATCTATTTTTGAAATACATTTTATGTTAGAAATATCATTAAAAACATAATTGGAAAAATTATAATATTAATATTAAAAAAAATTGTTGTTTATACCTTTTTAAATCATCATCGTAATTTTGTAGGTTGAAAGTTTTGTTTAATTAACCATGGGCTAGAAAGCGATTAATCTAGAAAAGTAGAAACTGACACAAGATGGGATTCATAACTCTTAGTTTTAGTTCGCTTGCCATTAAAGATAGGTTTTGGCAGATTCCTTGAGATATGATAATTAGCTTATGAAGCTTAGAATCCTTTGATCGTCATTATAGTTTTGAATACAGGAATATTTTTTCAACTTTCTATACTGAGTTTTGATCTGGAAGAGCTAAACATTGGAAAATTGATTATTAGTACCCTTGACGGTTCTTAATCACTCGAAGTTTAGTTGAAGAGTTTATCACCGCCAGAAAGTACAAGCTATAAAATACCCACACAATGAAAGAGTAAGTAGTAAGAAATTAGAGTAATACTGAGTGTCCGCACTTTGTATCTCCAGCTTATAAAAGTATTGAAACGTAATTATACTGCCCCCGCTGTTCTTATCTGCAAACTCGAGGGATGATAACGCTTAAATTCAGGGTATGACTCCCGAGGTGGATACAGTATAAACAGTCCATTGGGCAGCTTGATTCTTAATAAAAAACGTAACAATACCTTCCGTTAAAAATAATGGAATTTAACATTGCAATAGAAACAACAGTAATGCGTTTCAAGAATACATATTTTGAAGAAAATTTTACACGTAAATATAAACTCTTCCTGGTTTTTTACATGAGGTTTAGAAATATACAGTTATACATAGTGCTATAATGTGTATGGAGAATTACTTGTTTATGCTTGTTAGACTCCTAGTAATATATTCTTACATTTCATTATTGCATCTGTGCATGTGTCATACGAAGTACAAAATTTGTGACGTATAATCTAGTTATAAGGGAAAGTAACAATTCTTTAATTACGAGTTCAGAGAGAAACTGGATTTTCACTCTCTGTAGACCCACCATACCAGCGATTAAACCAATAAGCGCACTTTGGTATTGAAGTCACGGGCAAACCTTTTCCCTTCTCAACAAGAGTTTTTATTAAGTATGGTATATTTCTTCTATCAGTCCGAGAGCTTCACCATATTAGTTCACTAAAACGTACGTGTAATGTTACAAGTTTAATTACATACAACTATTATAAGGTCATCAATTGCATGCTGTTCGTAGAGACTATCCTTGATAGGATCAAAAACCTGACTGGAAGTTACTTAGTACCAAATTTATTTACGGGATAAAGAAAGAAAGACCATCCGAATTTATCAATTGTAGTAATTACACGAGTGATTATAACGCGTTGAATTTATCAATTGTAGTAATTACACGAGTGATTATAACGCGTTGAATTTATCAATTGTAGTAATTACACGAGTGATTATAACGCGTTGAATTT